GGCATTCGAACGTTTAATAAAGGATACATTTGACGTACTTTCAATAAAATAAGGACAATGTACTCGCCTTGGCTGTTTCCCGGTGCCGTTTTGATATATCACGGGAGACGAAAGTCATTGTGACAAGTGTTAGAGAGAAAGTACTTTCTCTCGTATAAGTGGCCCTATTTTAGCTTAAAATAGGGATTTTCCCTATCCCAATATGCAAGTTGAACCGGTCTTAGTAGTCGAGATTGCGATTTTCCACACAAGCTCTTTTATTGTTAAAATGTCATTATTAAATATGCAAATATTCTGCTTGGGTTTATACCTTTTATGTGACCTACGGCGAAACTGGTTTTGCGTAACAATGTAGATTCGAGCGCTCCACAAGACAGTTTTATGAAGTTGGACATCAGAAACGTGGAATTCAAACGCTTAATAACGAATTAATTTGACCTGCTTGAAAAAAAAAAAAGACATTAAAATCGCCTGATCTGTTTTCCGGTGCTATTTTGATCTATCACGAGTTTATTGTGACGTGAATCAATGGACGCGTGAAGGGATTTTTCCCTATCCCGGCATGCTCGTTGAACCGTTCTTCCTTGTCAACTCATAAGCGATTTATCACTATGTACCTTTACGGTTGCGATTTGGTGGTTGTTCGACATTATAGCCTACACTGGAAACAAGCATTGGTAATTTTAATTAATTATATTCAATTGCACGGTCTGTGTAGACCGATTTGCATGTGTATGTCCACTGAGCTTAACCGTCAAATGCTACAGTCAGGCACATTCTCAGCTCGATGATATTTACACAAAGGGCCTATATCGCAAAAGTTGAAAATTTAACTCTGTACTTTAAACTAAACGAATCTTTCTGCGTCTGACTAGTAAACATTTATTCCTTTCAGACTCCAGACTAATCAGGAGTGTTAAATTGAGGCAAAAGCGATCCTCGGCTACTGCAGGAAGTTCATCGCCCTTGTTTCGGGGAATCGACGGAATACAGGTAACCTGACAGGCAATTGTGCCAATTTAGTCCCTGCGACTAGTCCCTGCAACTAGTCCCCTGAAGAGTTTACACGAAGGGGCCGGTCGCAGGGACTTGTCCCACGAGCAGTTCACACGAAGCGTTTTGAGGAACAAGTCGCAGGGACTTGTCCCAAAAATTCAAACCAGTTTGAATTCGTGGGACTAGTCGTAGGGACCAAATTTTAGTCCCTACGACTAGATTTTGTGGCAAAAATGGCTAGTTCACACGATGGGACTTGTCGCCGAGACATGTTGCAGGGACTTGTCACAGGGACTAGTCGCAGGGACTAGTCCCGTCATGTGGGCTGTGAGCTTGACCTGCGTGACAGCCTGCATGGGCTAGTTGGTTGTTATTGATTAATGCCTTACGATTACGATTATAGATACAAAACTTTTACTGTATGGATAAACGTCCACCATTTTCGGATAAATCCGAAGTCTTCGTCGCTTATTCAGTAATGCTCTATTTCACATTCGGTCCTAAATTGTTTGTTATCGAAAGTAGTGATAACGAGTTTGGGTTTTTTCCCTATCCCGACATGCTCAGGGAGTACGTGACTCCCGACTGGTAATTTTCAGGTGTTACAACATCCGTGAAAACAAAGCGCATTCCAAATTCCAACGTAAATAGTACTTTGTACTTTTCAACCTCAGGCAGTCTGTCTAGTTTACTTCACATCTAAACGTATAATAAAACTAGACGCTCTAAGAGCGTTTACTCGGCTTCGTACCGAAGTATCAAATCGTACTTTACGAAAACGCGTATTGGACACAATAAAAACAAATTAAAGAATCAGGATACTTTAGCACAAGAGTTCCGCTTAGATATTTACTATTTTAGTTGCTTCGTTGAATATCCTCCTAATACAATCGCAAGTTGTGAGTTTAAACCATTTTGGGGACCGTTCATTTTTTATGAGGGAGGGGGGGCTGGTGGGATTTGGGAAGCACCATTTAAAAATCACATGACCCCCCCCTCAGCTTACCAATTTTTTCACATGGCCCCCCCCTTATAGCGGTAATTTTTTGGGATGACCCCCCCCCAAAAAAAA